CTTTCTTGCAACTAATATAATACACTGAGAGTGGATTAATACATATATATATATATATATATATATATATATATATATATATATATTATTACAATATCTTAGGGAATGTCTCTGCCTTTTAGGGCTGATATTTTGGAATATCCTCCTGGCCATATCTGTCTCCTTCCTGGATATTGGAGAGTGAATTGTTCTGTTTCTCTTTTGTGGATTGTCTGCCCAATTTTGGAGACAGGACCTTCTTCTATCTGCAAGAAATCCCAAACTCTTTTTCTACATAATATACTTTTGAGGTAATATTTGGTTAATCAGTATTGCTATCATCTGTGTAACCTGGCATAAGGGTAGATTGGTAGCCCCTAATTAGAGGTGTAATACATATGTCAAAACCCTCTTTCCCTTATATGGTTTTTTTAGAGCTATGAGGCCGGGCCTTGCTCGCCAATATTGTGCCCCCATATCTTGCTCTTGGATGGCTCCATGCCCTATATGAGCAATAGAGGAGGTCGGCTCCCTGTAAATAGGAGGTCTTTCGTTGCTTGGCACACATATAAATACTATATGTAAGTTCTATGATATATTCATTTGGATTTTTACATGTTTATGATGCAAGCTGTTACAATCAATATATTTATATATATATGTGTTTTCTTTTTAGATTTCTTCTAATAACGTCCCTCACCCCCCCCCATAGGACTTTTCATGGTGGTTACAGTATGTCTTATCACTAGTCTTACTCCTTCGGTATGGTGGGATGTGTGACATTGTCCGCACGGACATTGTAGAATAGGAATTTTAAACTAAAAATGTTTTTCTGTCATGACTTATTGTCATAATAAAGTACAAATGATTTTACTAATAAGTGTATATGTATTTTGTGCCTCTAATGTCCATTTTTTCCCTTTGCCTATTTTCTCTCTTCCCCCCTTTTCAGTCTAGTTAATTAGAATGTGGCACCAGTGTATTTACAAATTGGAAGTGATCTAACACCCGACTGCACTCCAAATCTTTTTTTATTTGTATATTATTGACCACTGCTGACACAGACTAATTAATTTCTGTCCTAATAATAATGAAGCATTTCTATAGTACTTGCCAAATCTTGTTTAGTGGGCTGGTTAAAGTAATAGTCCAAAAGAGTTTGTTGAATTTAAAACCCTTCATTATGTAATTCTTTCCCTCTTTTTCCTATAAAATTATTTTAGGTTTGTATAGTTGCAGCTATTACAAGACCCTTTAAGACACTTTTTTCCAGTTCATGTCTCATGTTTTATATGCACACACCCTTGTGTGCTAACTTTATTTCCCATTATTAAGTCACTTTGTCTACCTGCCTGCTGGTTGACTCTGCTTGCATTGGTGGGAATTCTGGTATGGCATTTTAATAAAGTGGAAGTACATCCAAAGCTCTTTCGGCTGTACTTCTGTGGATGACAGGAGTGCAGTTCGTTCAGTGGGGGACAGATGCAGCATGCAGGTAAGTATGATTTTTTTTTTAAAAATCCCACATTTCTCTTTTAAGTGACTTAGTTGATCAGGTTACATTCTGTTTTTTATTTTATCTCTGCCTATATCTATTGAAAACTTAGAAGTAGAGGTTAGCATACTTTTTTTAGAGTAATTTTGACCCTGGTTCAGTCACATAGGCTTTGCTTTCCTTGAATAATTTCCAACATAACTGTTTGGGTTAAAAGTGAACCTATTTCTTTTTTAATACCAAACCATGCTTCCAAAAAACAGGGGATATAAATATAGCTAGATGGCATGAAAGTATATCATACTACTTGTATACTAGTCAAAACCATGAAATATTAGAAAAGCAAAACAACTTTAAAAATAAACTTTCTTTATTGTCCATTGAGGGACAAAGGAGTCAATGAATTTTAATACAGCCAGATTACACTGTTGCCCACAGAAGGCTGAGACAATGGAAAACAGAAAATAAAATGTTGATATGGCCCACATATAACCCCTGCTCTACCATGATGCTTAAGTATTTTGCTAGTATTCTAGAAGGCTGAATCTCCTTTTCCTTCTATGAAAGAAAAACATACTTTGGTAGCATTTTTTTTCTTCCATGATTCTTATCGTTTTGATATCTTTATTTAAGAGTCTTGATTTCTATACCGCTGCTTCAGCTGGTCTCTACATAGCAGCTACCTCAATTCTCAGCAACAGCTTTGGACGCCGTACTGGACCCCACTGGACTGGAAAATTGTGGGGTTAGCCTGGAATTTGACCTTTGGAGCACTGGGCTATGCATTGGAGCACTTTCCAGAACTTTGTGTAATGTGTTATTCAGCTGCAGATCACTTTCCAGGTCCAGAACTGTAGCACACAGCCTCTGGTGTCGACTCTGAAGACTCACATAGTGAGCATCACAGTACATCACAGTTGGTACTCTTGGGGACCTTTTCAAATTTCCCACAATTGCCATTTCTTGCAGTAAGGGTTAAGGCTGGGGGAGTGCTGATGTCATCCACTATGCTAAGCACTTCACATGCTTTTTCTCACCATTTCAGCCTAGTGGAAGCACCATCCTGCTGCTGTTCCTTCCCCTGAAGCACCATGTAGATCTTCCAGTCTCTATTTTCATTCCACTGCTTGTCTACTGTGACTTGACCACCTACTATGCTTACTAGCACAGCTGCTGGTGAATATGCAAGGCCTTTCTTTACTTTGGTTCCCATATTTCCACTATGTGGTGCAACATGTCTTTCCAAAGATGCACAGAGAACTTTCTATTGCATATCTGCCTGGAGAGGAGATCTACTGCTATTGAGCCTATACTTGAGGGGAGACCATTGCGGTGAGAGTGACGTGATTTTGGCGGAGTTCCATACACGGAGGATCCATTGTAGAGATTCTAAAGGTGTTTTGGCCCTGTGTGGGTCGAGACAAGGAGGTGAGCGGGCATTGCAGCCATTTTTTGGATACCTTCCTGGCACCTGATGTTATCTAGTTTTCACCATCACAAAGGGTTTATTATCATACAGAATTTAGGTGTTATTCACCACACTGGACCTTTTGTGTTTAGTATACGCATTTTTGTGTTATGCGTTTTTTTCTGGTTTTTTTTTCCTGTTTCTGTTTTGATGCACGTTATGTTTATGTGATTATTTGTTGTTTATTATCACATGCACCAGTTAGGTGCATTTTGTTAGTTTTGTGTGTCACATTGTTTTTTATGTGGATTTGGGAATTTATGCCATAGTGCATGTTTTGGGGTGGGGGTGAAGGGGTTAGCACCTTTATGTGCAGTCCTATTTTGGACTACTTGCCTTACGTTATATTTCTTTTATCACCTTTAGATCCAATTAGGATCTTTTTGGGCACTATTGATTCATTGGTCCCATTTGGACTTGTTTTTGGCACTTTTAATTTATTTCATTATATTTGTATACACATTTGTGTGAGTGTTATCGGCACTTGTCATTAGTATCACTTTGCATGATTTGTTTATATTATTATTTTCCATATATTGTTATATTTTTGTATTCACGTTTGTGGGTTCACATGGTATTAGCGCTTCATCATTATTTGTAATATGCCCCTTTGCTGGTGTCAATGAGAGAAATAGTGTCTTGTATCAGTGGGAGAAAAACTGCCACAAGGGCTAGATAAGGGCAGGCAAAGGGCTGCATCTGGCCCCTGAGCCATAGTTTGGAGACTCCTGACAAAGACAGAGTTTTCCACCCACTCATGCCACAGGGCTTGAAGCCAAAGGTGCGCCCCACCTTTGGAGAGCTGTTTGTTCATCCTGCTGGGCCTCTGGGTAAATCATCTCCCCAGCATTTGGCTACTAAAGTCAGTCCTTGTGGCCTTTTATTTGGTCCTCTAGTTTTGACTGATTGGGTCCATGGTTTTTTCAAGCACTATTTTTCCTTTAGATATGATTCTCTGGCCTTGTCTGGAACAGAAGGTTATTCCTTGCATTCTCCCCTTGGTGTTGGCAGTGTTACTGTTGTGCATTGCCTTTTCTCCATCTAGCCTTTATTCTGGCATTGATTCTTTCAAATACTCTGTTATGGACAGTCCCTTCATCTAGTGGGCCTCTCAGTGGCTGTTTCCCACAACTCATTTGGAATGATTTGGGACATCCTGACTGTATAAGTATTCCAAAATGCCCATATGCCTCAGTGGATGAGAAAAAATTAGATGTACTTCCTTAAAATTATTTATTTTGAAGTCTGTTGAGAAACACAGGTCCCTTCCCTCTGTGGTATTAACTTTCTCACAAAACTGAATCATCATGGGTAGTGGAGGGGTTATATGAGGGCTGGATCAATTGTTTTCTTCTGTTTGCCAGTGTCACAGCCTCCTGTAGGTGACAGGATAACCTGGCTGTATTAGAATTCCTAAATTCTTGCACCCCCCAGTGAAGTTGAACAAAAATGTACTCTATGGCAAGTACAAAAATCCTATTTTTAGAAAAAACACCCCTTTCACTAATTATTGAAAATAGTTATGAAGGTAGCATGTTTTTGTATTGATCTCTTCAGGAGAAATTACTTTCTGTAGTTAAAATATTTTACATGCTGCTACAGACAAGGTCAGGCTCCATATTCCACAATTACATTCCACAATGTTAGGGGTAGATACTGACTCGACACAATGTTTGGTCCGTTCAGTTCTTTTATGCCTAAGCCATGGGTGTTCACAAGGAAATGATTGGAAGTTGTGGGTAAGCAGGGACCAAAATTGAGAATGCTGTATGTCACACCAAATACCTTTCTGGAAAAAAGCATTCTAACAATTATGAAGTTGCTGATGTGAGCTACTGTTCAATGGACATTGTATTACTGGCTACACATGTTCAGTAAAGAAAACCTAAAAGCATATATTTGTGTTCATCATGTGACTACTGTGAAAATCCAAAAAAGGACCTATTTGCACAATGTTAGGTTGACAATAGATATATACAGTAAAATGGCCAAAAATTATCTTGCTAAGTATTATTAAAAGCTTAGAGTAACTTTTAACAATTATATATTGATTTTTAGGACACCCTTGCATTATGCATCTGTTAATTGCCACTTCCACTGTATTGAGGTTTTGGTAAACTCTGGTGCAAACGTGAATGAAGCAGATGTTTGGGGTCGGACATCTTTGCACTATGCTGCTGCTTCAAATATTGACCGCAAGTAAGTTAAATACATATGCAGTTATGTGCAAGACTGATTTGTATGTATGTATCTAAACAACACTGTCAAGTGTGTTATATATACTTCTTCTTGCCTTTATTTTTTTCGCAGTGACTGGTATAACTAACACATAGCTGGACAACTTACTTTTTAATTATTTTAATTTTATTTGGCTTGTGTGGACAAACTTTGACAACATCAGGTGGGTGTTTTTTTTGTAAATCCAAGGGACAGTATAACAGAAATTTGTATCAATGCTCACTATAAATTCCCTTTACTGGTACCTACACATGGAAACATACATGTGGTTGTGGCTCAGTCCCACACTATCCACAGTGTTAATGATGGCTATAAATGTTTGCCCAGGATAGAATACCCTTATTCTCTTAATTAGAATCAAACTTAGAAGGTGGGTATGTATTTGGTAATGTATTATGCAATGTTTAAGCTCCAGGAAAATAAATTTACGTTGAGTATTGTTGCAAATACTGTATCTGTTTTTGTGGGGGCCAATATACATGTGGTAAATAACAAGCAACATGGGAGGGTATGATGCAAGGTATTATAATTAATTGAGAGACAGGAAAGAAAGAAGCAGCCACTACTCTGGCACCAAGGTTTCTAGATGTCCAGGCTGCCAGGTCCATGTTGTAATGTGACAAAAACATGTGAAAGTGTGAAGTAGCAGCATGGCTGATGTCCCCAGGAGAAATGCTTACAAAAGCTGCTCATGAGGCTGCCTTTCTTGTTGTCAAATGGGCAGTTAGCACTTGAGGGAGATCTCGCCCATGAGCCTTCTGTGCTCTGTGGAAGCAACCAAGGTCCTCTTCAAAGCTTCATTGCCCTTACTAACACCCATAGGGAGAATTAAAGGTCTTTCTGATAATCTGAAAGGCTTCATAGCAGTAATATAGGCACAGACGGAGCTGGCTATGTCCAACTCATGTCTCTTAAAAAATAGGGTTCTTACATCTTAGGGCTTAAATCTCAGTGATTTTCAAAGCTGAAGTAATTGCTACCAGATATAGTCTTCATAGTCAACATTAGAATAAAGCAAGAATCAGCAGGAGGAAAAGTGGGTTTCACCAGGATGAATAGAAACAGAGATACAGTTAGGTCCGTATATATTTGGACACAGGCACAATTTTCATACTTTTGGCTTTTACATAGTTACATAGTTAGTCTGGCTGAAAAAAAGACAAAAGTCCATCCAGTTCAACCATTAAAAAAAAAAAGTTAGAATCATATACCCACAGTTGATCCAGAGGAAGGCAAAAAAAACCCAAGCAAAGCATGATCCAATTTGCTCCTGCAGGGGAAAAAATTCCCTGATCCCCTGAGAGGCAATTGGATATTCCCTGGATCAACTTTACCTATAAATGTTAGTATCCAGTTATATTCTGTGTCTCCAAGAAAGAATCCAGGCCTTTTTTAAAGCAATCCGCTGAGCTGGCCAGAACCAACTCTTGAGGGAGTCTATTCCACCTTTTCACAGCTCTCACTGTGAAGAAACCTTTCTGTGTTTGGAGATTAAATGTATTTTCCGCCAGACGTTGCCCCTTGTCCTCTGTGATGACCTCAGGGTGAATAACTCTACACCGAGTTCACTATATGAACCACTGATGTATTTATACATGTTGATCCTATCCCCCCTTAATCTCCTCTTCTCAAGAGAGAATAAATTCAGTTCCTCTAATCTTTCCTCATAGCTGAGCTCCTCCATGACTCTTATCAGTTTGGTTGCCCTTCTTTGTACTTTCTCCAGTTCCCCAATGTTCTTTTTATGAATTGGTGCCCTAAACTGAACTGCATATTCCAGATGAGGTATTACTAATGATTTGTACAGGGGTAAAATGATATCTTTCTCTCTGGAGTCTATACCTCTTTTAATACAAGAGATGATTTTGCTCACTTTAAAAAACGCAGCTTAGCATTGCATGCCATTATTATGCTTGTGATCTACCAGAACTCCCAGATACTTCTTCACCATTGATTTCCCCAGTTGTACCACCAGGATGAATAGAAACAGAGATACAGTTAGGTCCATATATATTTGGACACAGGCACAATTTTCATACTTTTGGCTCTTACATAGTTAAATAGTTAGTCTGGCTGAAAAAAAGACAAAAGTCCATCCAGTTCAACCATTAAAAAAAAAAAAAAAAAAAAAAAAACAAGTTATAATCCTATACCCACAGTTGATCCAGAGGAAGGCAAAAAAAAAAACCCAAGCAAAGCATGATCCAATTTGCTCCTGCAGGGGAAAATATTCCTTCCTGATCCCCCGAGAGGCAATTGGATATTCCCCTAGTATGTATGATGCATGCATATTATTAGCCCCAAGTGCATAACCTTACATTTATCAACATTAAACCTCATTTGCCACATAGTTGCCCAATTAAACAGTGCATTGAGGTCGGCTTGTAAGTTGGAGACATCCTGTAAGGACGTTATTCCACTGCACAGCTTGGTGTCATCTGCAAAGACTGAAATGGTATTTATAATCCCAGACCCTATATCGTTTATAAATATATTAAAACGTAAGGGTCCCAACACTGAACCTTGAGGTACACTACTGACAACCCTAGACCATTCAGAGTATGAATCATTAACCACTACTCTCTGAATACGATCTTTTAGTCAGTTTTCTATCCAATTACATACCGATTTTTCCAAGCCTGTAGTCTTTACCTTACACATTAGCCGTGTGCGGGGAACTGTGTCAAACGCTTTTGCAAAATACAAGTATACCACGTCCACCGCCACCCCTCTGTCCAAGGTTTTGCTCACCTCCTCATAAAAAGAAATCAGATTTGTTTGACAACTTCTGTCTTTCATAAATCCATGCTGTCTGTTGCTTAAAATATTTTTTTCATGCAAAAACTCATCTATGTGGTCTTTTATTAAACTCTCCAGTATCTTCCCAAATATAGAAGTTAAACTAGCAGGTCTATAATTACTTGATAAAGATTTTGACCCCTTTTTAAATATTGGCACCACATTGGCCTTACGCCAATCCAGTGGTAAAGAGTCCCTAAAAATGAGAAACAATGGCTTTGAAATGACATAGCTCAATTCTTTAAGGACCCATGGGTGTATGCCATCCAGTCCAGGTGCTTTATTTACCTTTAGGCTCCATGTACATGGTACGTTTGGAGAACTCTTCTGAACCCTGGAAATTGACAGCAGGAAAACACAGGTTAAAAAATGTCAGTTTTGCTGCATTTGCATACCGCGTTTAGCCGCGTTTATGAGCGTTTGCGTTCAGAAGCGTTTTTTAAAGCTAAGCACAGGAGAACCTTCCAAATGCCCAGAATACACTGGAAAATTGTAAATTATTAACTATTTCAGACTGTTTGAGAGAAATAGAGAGAGTCGAAGCAGAGAGAGCAGTATGGTGTACCACGTCCATTTGAGTACCGGGAAAATGCTTTGCATGCATTTTTCATGATGAAAAACGGCTCCAGACAGCATCTGGAAATGGAAGAGTTAAAAAAAATGAGCAAAACGCTTATAACCGTTAGCCATGTTTACCAGTGTGTGGCGTTTGAAACACTCCTGAACGCAAGTTGTGTGCGTTAAAAAAAAAATGACTGTAAACTCAACTGCCTGTAAACGACTGTAAATTACATAGTGTACATGGACAAATAGGAAAACATTAGGGAGAGTTCAGGGGCTGCTGAAAATACGTAGAAAAGCTCCTAAACGTGAGTTTATTAGCTGCAGTGTACATGGAGCCTTATTCTGTCTAAATATTTTTGGATCATATCAATTGTGATCCAATTTGGATCATCTGGAGCTGTGTCAATACCATGCCCATTATGGAGAAGAGCTTCCCCATACTCCTTTGTATACACAGAGCTGAACAAGTATTTAATACATTTGCCTTCTCTTTGTCCTCAGTCACCCACTCTAGATTATTTTGTAAAGGGCCTACATGTTTGGACTGGATCTTTTTAATATTAATATATTTGAAGAATTTTTTGGGGTTGGTCCTGCTATCCTTTGCAATCTGTAATTCGTTTTCAATTTTTGCGGCCTTTATTTCCTTTTTGCATATTCTGATATACTCTTTGTAATGTTTAAACGATGATAGCGTTCCTTCATTTTTATATTTAATAAAAGTTCTTTTCTTATTATCTATAGCTTTTTTTAACTTTGGCCATAAGCCATATAAGTTCGATTTTTAGCCTTTTAAACTTGTTGCCCATGGGAATATATAGTTGTGTTCAATATAATAGCAGTCAGACATCACTAACCTGATCAATCACTGTTTTTGGTAGAAATGATATTTCTACATGGCAAATTTACTAGCAGGTGTAGTAGAGTAATAGAAATCCAACAGACCCAACAGTCATGACATAATGCTGCTGATTCTGTGTAATTGAATCACTAATTGAAAGGGGCATGTTCAAAATAATAGTAGTGTGGAGTTCTATTAGTGAAGTCATTCATTCTTTGAAACACAGGTGGCAATTATTGCCCTTATTTAAGGAAGGAAGGCAGCAAATGTTGTACATGCTGGTTACAGTGCATTTCTCTCTGAAATTCTGAGGAAAATGGGTCGTTCCCAGACATTGTTCAGAAGAACAGGGTACCTTGATTAAAAAGTTGATTGGAGAGGGGAAAACATATAAAGAAGTGCAGAAAATGATAAGTTGTTATAATGGTCGCAAATGCTTTAAAATGGCAACCAAAACCTGAAAGATGTGGAAGAAAGCGAAAAACTACCATTTGAATGGATAGAAGTATAGCCAAAATGGCAAGGACTCAGCCAACAATCAGCTCCAGGAAGATATCAGGGCAGGGCTGTGGAACGGACAGGTAGGCCTAGTGGCAGGGTAACGCACTGGCTGACGACAACCACCACCAACAGACCGGAGTCCCTCAGGGCGCGGAGTCTAAGTCCCAGGCTGCCCTTCACCAGGGCCCCTGATGGTGGGGATGGACTTGACACAGCCAGGGACCAGGTCGCGGCCCCCGAGACACCCCAGCTGCGG